GACTACCCTAGCCACTACCCAGTGACTACCCTAGCCACTACCCAGTGACTACCCTAGCCACTACCCAGTGACTACCCTAGTAAGCCTTACTCTATCAGCCGAGCTAGCCAGCACTGTAGTAGTGGCGTGGATGCGCGTTGCTGATGCTGCTGTGTGTCTTTGTTGTGCGTAGAACACGCTGGAGAAATGCTCGATCTGCTCGAAGCCGATCATGGACCGCATCCTGCGCGCGACGGGCAAGCCGTACCATCCCGGCTGCTTCACGTGCGTCGTCTGCGGCAAGAGCCTCGACGGAATCCCGTTCACCGTCGATGCCACCAACCAGATACACTGCATCGAGGATTTCCACAGGTGAGGGAGGAGGCGGTGGTGATGGGGAGGGGGGGATGTACGAAGTACCCTGCCTCATGTTACCCTAACTCGTGTCATCAAACAGGAAAGGACTGTGCGTAAGCGTTTGTCGCAGGGTTCAGACAGGTCATGCGCAGTCGGTCCTCGTTACACTGGGTGGGAAGATGGCCGGTCACACCGTGCACTAGAATCAGTCGGTCCATTCATCTGCAATGTCGATTGATGTGTTGGTTGCAAGTAGCAATCCTATTGTCTCATTTCACTGCAACTATCCAGCGCGTTGGGAGGTTAACGCGGGCCGAGCTCCGGCACCGTCCCCGTGCGCTCTGACCGTGTGACCGAGCGTTTCGTTTGCTCGTCCCTCGCAGGAAATTTGCTCCTCGCTGCGCGATGTGCCACCAGCCGATCATGCCTGAGCAGGGCCAGGAGGAGACAGTGAGGATCGTCGCGCTGGACAAGAGCTTCCACATAAACTGCTATCGGTGCGAGGTGAGCGAGAGACCCCGGGGCGGCGGCGCAGCGATGGCGTAGTCAGCCGTAGAGAAGCCCGATGGGTGTTGATAGCGGTGCAAGTTTGGTGGCGGGGGCGGGGTGTAGGTGAAGACCAATTTGTACCGGGGAGCTAGTTAACGAACAGAGCTTTCAGTGTAATTCGAACTAACCACGCCAGCGTTTCGCGGCTGCATTTAGCGACTAACGAGACGCCGAGCGGTGTCTAGCGCGGGCTCTTGCGCGCAGGAAACGACGGCCGTCGGCGCGCAGGGACGGCCGAAGCCCGCTAACGTAGCACGTAGCGCCCCCTAACACGCACGCACGTCACTTTTGCCGCTGCAGGACTGCGGATGTCAGCTGTCGTCGGAGGCCGATGGCCGGGGATGCTACCCGCTGGACGACCACATCCTGTGTCGGCAGTGCAACGCCGCTCGCATCAACGCTCTCACGTCCCGCATGACCACCGAGTTGTAGGCCGGCAGCGGCGGCGGCGGCGGCGAGCAGGGGGGGGACCTTCCTTGTACACGGGCGGCGACCGAGGGTCGCGTGGCGTGCGGGCGTGATATCGCGTTCAAACGCTATGCACGCAGCTCCCCCGGGTGGCATCGTTGAGGTGGTCGGGTGTGTGTGGGCGTGTGGCACGGAAGCAGAGGCACATCCTCGACATAACATGGCTCAACACAGTAGTAGATGGCAGTGGATGGTCACTTGCCACCAGCGGGGAAAATGAAGCAGCTGTTGTAGAATTCGTCCCAATGCAAAGCATTTTCTGTAGAATGAAGGTGGAGGCAGTAAAGGAAGTCTCTCAATAAAGCAGGCTGGTTGGCTGCACTGGCGTCAGTGCGTCTGCCTGCAATGAGTTTCACACAGTTGAATGCAGTGCAAGTCTGTGACTCACTCTGTCTCTAAGGCCTTGCCGGCGAAAAACAAACAAAGAAAAGTCCAATGAGCCAAATCGATTGGTTGACTCGAGGTTATTTAATTTTCTATAATTCCCCTCCCACACACAAGCACGTCAATAAATTTTTGCTAGCTGCAGGGTCAGAGTTAAAATCTCTGTTCATTATATATTCACTCTCTGCTCATCCTTCAGTGCAGCCACCCTGAGCGCAAGCAATATCATGTATTAGCCCCCTATCAATTACGTCTTCGTTTATACATTGCTCAAACCATTCAAACAAAATTCACCTCGTCTCTTGGGCTTTTACTCTGGTGTAATCGTCGGCGGGTGAAGTGTGTCCGAGCAAGTAGCTATGCTGACGTGTGTGCGCAGTGCAGGTGCAAGCACGGTATAAACTCCCACACATAGCGAGAGTTTAACAGCTGACAGCATTAACGTATGGTTGTAAATATTTTGCCTGAGCTTACTTTTGCTTAGTATCCTACCTTTGTCGATCACGAAATGCACGCCCTGCTACTAACAGAATGCAACGTATACACATCGATGGTAGATATATATATGTGGTGTAGCACTACATCACATTCTCCTGCTGTTAATGTTATCTAGACCGTGGATCGACTAAGGCGGTTTATTACTACCCGCGCCACGTGCATTCTTGTTTCTGAGTAGAGGCATGCGTATTGTAGCGTGTACCCTAGTTGGTAGGTGATGTGGCTTGCATGGTACACAGCTGCCCCAATCGGTGCAAAAAACTGCAGCTTCTAAGTCAATCGGCGAGTTCTTGCGTCTTCACTGTCATCCGCAATCGAAACGTGTAGCATATGCAGGTTCGCTTATGGCTTCATTACGATTTGCTTCTGCTGCATATCCTCTATTGACTAATTGCTGCATGCGTAGTTGTTACTACTCAATTATTTCATTAACGTATCGGAAGAGTGGGTTAGGTTTCTTGTGGATTCGGTAATACGTGCCATGCATGTTTCGTTGATTGAATAAAAAACTGGTCGATTTTAATGCGAACTAAGCAGTCCACCTTATCAACATGCTTTGAAAGGGGAAATTATTTGTCCAGTCAGATGAGTGAACTGTAATTGTGTTGGGGATATAATGCATAGGCATTGAAAACTCATTGTCTACATGCAAGTTCTTATATTTAGTTCAGCAGAGCGCCAACGCGTCGTGATTAAGAGAATATATATATCGAATATCCTGCTGTAATGCCACTATATCGAAATTCGACAATGATCTAGTCTCGAGGTTTATTTACTCGTTTGCAAATTGTTTTAACGCGAGGATTTTATCTGTATTTAAAGGGCAGGGGTGATTTTTTCGGATTTTTACTTTAATCAATCGGTGTGAGGAGGGGCTGCGACCGAGCGTGCTGGTGTTGTGGTGACCCCGCCGTGGTCGTGCACCTATGGCGGGGCGGGGGGGCTGCTGGTCGTCTGCCGTGCATCTAGCACAACAGCAGGTTCGATGTCCCGTGTGTGAGACATGCCAATTCCCTTTCTTGTACGTCTCGGAAGAGTGGTCTCGTACGCTGTTTGACAGTCCTTTAACGTTAATGACTGACGTGTATGTATACCTGAAGTAGATAATAGGGAATTCCTATTATCTACTTCTGATGTATACCCAAGTATTTATAGAAAAATAAATTTATAAAAGGTAGCTGAAAATCTTCGAAAATTCTGTAATCAGTTGTATGGATTTGTAAAACTTGTATTTATAATGACTGATATAAATGACAGTAATAAATGGCATTTTTTGCATATGAAACACATGTTGCACCAGTTTTCATATATGTCACTGCTGAGTAATGCGAGTTGGAAGTAGAAACAATGAGTGTGTGTGTCAGTATCAGAACTTTATGATAGATGTCTGCGACCGCCTACGATCATATACATCAATTGTTTAATGTCTGTTGGCGTACATTCCGCAGTCTCGCTCTGCTGCCAGTAATTCGCTGTGCTAGCAAAAACATGCATTTTGCCTCGATGATAAATAGGTCGCATGCAAGAAGTGAAAACGTCCCGAGTGCTAAAGCTGCAACGGACAGAAAAAGAAGATGACGAGTCGTTTTGATTATACACGTTTATTGTAACACATCAACTCTGAATAATAATAGTTCAGCAGAATGAACAACTACGTATGCACTGTGTACTTGCAATGCATTAACAATTTGGTACGGGCTGCCACTCTCCCAGTACAAGAAACACGTTCGCCCCTCGAATAGCAACCGATCGATCGTCCAAGCATCTCGTAATTTCAAAAGTACCAATTTGAAATGCGGAAATTCTGGATTGCTATTACAACAGAACAACCACATGATATTTTCATTCGAGATGGTGTACGCACTAGCCAAATTCGTAGAATTTCTACGTTCCTTACCGTCGATGCGTGAAACGAGTTTGACAGATTGTAGCGATTCTATGGCAGGCGGTTGAGAGCCTCAGGGCGCACACACACACGGACCAACATTCTATCAAACATATACGCTGCCACACAGGCGCATTGTTGTTGCTTCTGAATGTCGAACCGGTTACCCCAGTGGTGCCATCTGTGGAGGAACTATTACGACAGCGATCTCTGCGACGAAATCACAGCTTTCTGTAAAGATGGCCGACTTCGAGAAGCAACAGTCGTCTGCGCCGACACGAATGCGCCTGAAGCTTTGGAAGCTAACCCGCCACCTGGCAGCTTGGCCGATAGGAAGTGAAACCTCCAAATTCTCGTAAACCATCAGCCACCGCCACCGCCGCCGTGCGAACTGTCAGCGGACTATTGGACGATGTCGCCTCGCAACCGACCAATCAGAGTGTACAGTCCATTAAAGTGACAACCCGGTTTTGTGTGTGGTGTATGTGCTGCCGTTGTCATGGTAACCAAGAAGTAAGCTCCACCCAACTTGCGCAGGTGACATCGTCTGCAAGCGCCCACTGGCAGTTCGCGCTGTAGCGGCGACCGTGTTATGGTTTCACCTCCGAACGACCAGCGGCACACCTTAGTACCAGGTAGTAGGGCCGCAGGGACTACACCTTCATCCATCATATACGTATATATATATCTATATATATTCTCCACCACCACGTCCGTACCAAGCAGTCTAGAGTGTGAGCGATCAAGCATCACTCCCACGTACATAAGATATAGTATTCAACTCTAAAATAAACATGTACGTTTAATTATTATAATAATGATGATGATCGCCATCGTAATAATGATAATAATAATAATAATAATAATAATGAGAATAATAATAATATATACAGACATACGATAGGAACGTTTTTGGTCTTCAATGCTACAACGAAACACGCGACTAGCGCAGGAAAAACATAACGACGTGACTAAACATGCTAACTTCTGTTGTAGTGACGCGATAGCGAGTTACGAATAACACCAGCTGAAATTACATCTACTGACGTCAAAGGAAGAGTGTAATAGATAGCAGTCTCCGTCGCTGTTATTTATAACTCGACTACGCGTACCATTACGATTTCACGTAAGAACAGCCTACCATCGCGGTCCATTCCACTCCATGTCACCTATATCAGAGAGTGCAATCTATCTATCATCTATTCCACTCGAAATGAGCAAAACCGACACACACTTGGGCATCACGCATCACGCTATACCCTGCAACAAGTCATCTCGCTTGACCGAGCAGCACTTTCTGCACGGATGCGCTAGCAGGCTGTTTTGACGTGACACCGTCGCCGCGGCAGCATGCACGCGGACCTCGCGCGCGCGCGCCGGGGGCCGCGTGTGGCGCCACACCGCGGCAAGCTGACGAACTACAGTCGTCTACATGACGTACGCACGATAGGGAAAGCACGAAGAGATCCTACAATGAAAATTCTCATATATGGCGTACACACGAGTAAAGGGAGGTAACGGCGATGGTCGTGACGAGGCGTCGGCCGCGGGCGTCGCTCCCTACCGGGAACCACGCCCGTAGCAGGTAACACGACGGCCACAACGACGACGTCGCCGCCGACTGCGATTCGCGCCTCGGCCGCGCCGCAACGCTAATTAACATCTGGTGGCTCCTAACGAGCCTGTCACTAATTAGGTGGGAGGAGGATTAAGTCGTAATCGATAGATAAGTTTATACGAACGATTAATGATCACAACGACTCACGTTGTTAGGCTATGCCCGCGCGCGGCCGCGCCGTCCTGCCTATATCACCGCGGGGTCACAGGTCACGCCATGCTTACAACGAGCGTGACCGTTCTCTCTCGCGTGCATCTATGATTTACAATCCGAGTTGATTCCTCACATGCGGATACGAATAATCCATTTTGAAAATCACAGCGTTCAAAACGAACAGTCTAGCTAAGGTGTGGGAGTGTGCCACGCGGCGGTGCCATCGTGCCGGCAGGGGGCGCTGCATGCGAGTAGCTGGCACCGGATACGACGCCGTCTCTAGGGGTTGGTGTCGTCATCACTGCTCTGGCTGGTCACTGCCCAAACTAAACAAATAAAAAATAAAACCACGAAAATAAAATCGTGAAAGAAAGTGTGTGTGCGTGTGTATGTGTGTGTGCGTATGTGTGTGTGTGTAAACAAGACAGATGGAATCATGCACATGGTTCCAACCGACTCGATGTTCATAAACAAGCTAATGTTTCATTCGAAATAATATTAAAGCACATGCCTAAAACCACAAAAACTTAGCGCAACAGTTTTATGCACAGTTTTTGTACACCTCTCCCTATTCCAAGAGATGTGTAACCACAATCAACATAACTTAATGGTGGTACCACATTTGGTTTCCAGGCATAACGAAATGCACGTAGCATAATGAATCTCCACACCAGCACCTAATGGTGTATAGCTAACATAGACATTAAACATAAGCACTCATGCTACCTATTCGTGAAAGGTGTAAACTAAATACACATACAAGTACTAGGGCTCATAGGGTCTATGTCCCCCAGGGTACTGCCGGAACGTACCCTGGGTACGGTCCGGTATACCGGAACGTACGCTGGTAACTATTTGATGTGGTTAGGGTTAGGGATAGGGTTAGGGAGTAGGCGTAGGCGACTCCCTAGACTCGTTAGTGGAGTAGGCGAGGTACGGTCCGGCATATTAGATAGTACCAGGGTACGTTCCGGTATACCGGACCGTACACAGGGTACGTTCCGGCAGTACCCTGGGGGACATAGACCCTCTCAGCCGTACTAGGTCATTGGATATCGACAGCGGCGTCACCTAACGACGCCAGCACTATACAAATACGATAAAGATGCGACCTATGGGTGCACTAGTTGTCAACATGCAGGCGACAACTATCACAGTTACATCGCACTGGCGCCACCTGCAGGATCATACTGGAAACTAGACGTTCCACACTGTGGCAGTATTAATTTTGTCGTTTACACGGCGATTGCTCTTCACTCTCCATGGTTCATGTGCACACCTCACAATAAGAGCAGCGCACGCAGCTTTCGAAACCAAAAATGCTCGCGTGAGAGCTTACGCAAAGTGGTGCCGTCGCTAGGCATTTTCCTGCTGGTTTTTTAGCTCCACACGGCAAGACTAAACGTAAACTCCATCGAGAAGGGCCACGAACAATGAGTGAGGTTTACGTAGCCCACCGCCGCGTTACCTATGGGCTACTTATAGCGTTTAAATGGTAGGCTTGTCTAGACACGATTTAATTGATTTGCGGAACTCACGTAGCCTCTGGCTAGTGTCCCGCTTGTGTGGGTTACACCCTTCTAGCTGGGTGGGGGCAGTGAAATGCACGCAAGGACGTGTTAACGATGAGTGTTCAGTCTCCCTTTTATCAAGCATCCTTTTAGAGAAAATGGCTAGCGACAAACACTTCACACAGATTCTTACAGCATTAAGCAACAAGCTCGAGACTGCGCCAACAGTACGCGGTGTCACCTTTTGGACAAATTCGGTCACAATGGCTTCACCACTCATAACACGTTTATACATATACATAGAGAGAGATGGCTAGATAGATAGAGAGAGCAAAATTTCATGATGGTTTTCTACTTCATGCAAATGCATATTAGTCCGTTCCTATGACGTGCGACGTCCTCCTTACTGTCGTTTGACACCTTTTAAACAGACGGCACGCTACTACCCCATCATCAGTCTTAATTACATGCATCCGGTCAATTTCACACGCTAGTCCTAAACTAAATATACGACACCGTCGACACTCCACGCACGAGCAGGAAGCACACTAGCTGTGGCGACAGTGTCGAATGGCCGATACTTGGCCACGCCCCTACCCCTCCCATCTCCGCCCCCCTGACAACCCCGTGTCGCTGCATGGTCGAGGTGTCGTCCTACCTGCAACCCTCGCTCAGCCGACTCGTCGCCGAAGGCGACGCCCCTCATGGCTTCAGCGAGTGATGCGGCGGTGCGACACTCACGCTGTGGGGGAGGACGGAGGGGCATAGGACGACATGCCGTATTGTCACAGTTCACTATGCTGAACTGGAAAGTCTTCACTTCCTTTTATGGGCACACGGCAATGCGAACCAAACTACAGAAGACTCGGCCACTCGCTCCCCCTGCACGCACACGTGCCAAGCATTAAAAACCGCGTTCGAAGAGAAAACATCTGGCGAATTCCAATCTTTCCGTGGAACTGTGATATGCAAAACTCCTTGCAATTCAAGCACAATTTTTCTCCTCGCTAAACGTGATTGCTATCTATTATAGTGCAGGCGGGTACCACCTCTAACTAGTTATAACATCCATATAGATCAATAATAGCTTAAAGAGAGCAGGCGTTAGAGCGACGAAGAAAGAGCATGCTATGGAGAGAAAGAGAGCGAAAGAGAGGAGAGAGAGAGACAGAGAGACAGAGGGGAGAAGAGTGAAAGAGGTCAAGGGAGAAAGGGAGGGAGGGAGAGAGAGAGGAGAGAGAGAAATTCACCATGAAGAGTTCCCAGCTGCTAGCGGTTTATAAACCGTGCATAGTGCTCTCATCCGTTCTCAATTTATAACTAGGTTCAATACTATCATATCCTGCAGTTGGTCTACCAAATGGTATAACGTGGAACAGATCGCACGGTGGCCCGTGCCACAATGTAACAGCCCATTCCCACGGTCGATTTCTAAATTTACTTAGGCATACTTGGTTGCTATCCAAACTGGTAGGCATTAAAAAGAAACAAAACACTCTGTTAAACATACAGTGTGTTAACTAGAGTCTATACTATATATATTACACGAGGAAATAGAATACGGTGGAGGGGGACGCATTAAATAGACATATTGCATGCATATCAGGTTTGTTTACAAATACTTTCAGTAAAATTTTAAAATAGTCACCAACCTAATCATGTATATGCTCACTAGTGACTAAACAGCAGTGGAACGAAAATGACAATTACTACCAGGAATACAAATTTATGCAAAAAAATCAAATTGTATCTAAGGGTGTGAAGTGCCACGAAGTGGAGGAGGTGTAAGTTGACCTGAATGATAACGACAATGTGTGAATGCGCATGTTTTCATTGCATTGTTGCCACAAGCACTTGTCTGATCTGAACATCAACGTGCAGCATCTTCATAAACAACGACGTACAATGGCACTCTCTCTCATATTACACGCAGCACAGTTTTACATGTACAACGCAGACGGTGGCGAGAAATACTGCAGGGCAGCCAACGAAAGATGAACGAATCAATATTCCATGTTTCGTATCTCTGCTCAAGCAGCAATGCTATTATTTCTGCTCACCAAGACATCACTACTAACACCACAACCACTGATGTTGTCATAGTCATCGTCACCGTCGTCGTCATGGTCACACCATCTTAGCAGAGTTGTTAGGGAGGATGCTCGACTGATTAAGGACTCGTTATGGCAATCACAGGCCTAGAGTGAAGCCTTTTGAGGTTCGGTCAGTGAGACGACAACACAGCATGACTATATATATAGAACAGTGACAACGGCGCATGCTATGTGCTGCTATTCTCACATATGTTATTATCATAGCATACTCAGCTATGCACATTTGTGCATCTGTCCCATCACTTGGCCTTTGATACAGCCCATGCTGTTAGGAAAAAAATTGCAATTCCCATTAAAAACAAAACATATGCCAACATAATTAATATCAGTAAACATTTGCATGTTAAGAAAACTTTTATCGCAAATTACAGACTCACTCTTGCAGAGTGCAGGCTGAATAATTACGTGCGTTGGCAAACAAATATTTCAGCAAAAACAAAACAAAAAAACAATCAGTTCGGTACACGGCGTGTTCCGTAAAGAAATGGTACCTTGCTAATAGCGTTCTTGACAATTAATTAAATAACATAATTAAATGTATTCTAAAAATATAATTTCTTCTTTAAAAATGCGACAATAATTAGTAGTCTGCCTCTTGCTATCTTTATATCGATATATGGGTAGTTCCACTAGATTTGTCAACTTTGCAAACATATACATGGGTCATGACTGTGAAAGTAATAACCTAGCTTGAACAAATACAGTCGATTTATATAAATTATGTATGGTTACACACATTCTGTGGGGAAGCTCGATGTATGTTCAGATCTAGCTGTATTACTGGGTAGTAGTACGTCTAGTGTAATTAGGAGACGGCAGTAAAATATTCATAAACAGAGAGCAATGAACATCTGCCATTTGGCATCTGCTGGCTGGAATTTCTTCGCACTGCCTATTCACTCATGACAGCTGCCTGGCCTATTCGTTTACAAGCATCCTCCCTGAACACTCTTATAACTCCTCCTGCTACTGCTAGCCAGCACCATAATACAATGCTGGTAAAAGTCGAATTGCAGCACTAATTCCAACCGCTCTCCTGACGTACTATTGTCCAGAGTTCATGAAACAGCCAAGCGTCAATAATCAATCACGACCAGCAGCCAATTAACGCTGATGGAACACAATGAAGCTTCTCTCACTCACGCACACACGCGCACGCATGCACGCACGCACGCACACACACACACAAACACACACACACACACACACACAGTTTGAGAGCTATAGGTATTCAGGGTAACAAAATGGTATTGAGGAAAGTAAGACCACAAAGGAATGTTATGGGTTCAGGTGGGCAGGGTGCTGTAATACCCATTTTTCTTTGTTGTGATTGTCCTTACTATTTCGTTCTCCCATGATCATGAACTTCCAGACAGGTATCACGGGGAATATGTATCAAGCATATTTCCGTAACGAAATACGAACGAAACTACACCTTGGTTTATCTTATGTTCACAAATATTTCTTATCAACAGAAACATTTAGCCCATTTGCTGCAAATACAGCAAATTAAGATGCATGTAATTTTCAAATTAAATTAAATTTCTAACTTTAATTACTGAAAATCTAAGTAAAAATACCATGTTTTTAATTCAAATTTTCAAATCAGGATTTTTCCATGTCAGTCGGAATAAAGGAAACAAAAGATAGGCGAATACTACTCACCAACTATGATTATAACAATGACAAGGCCAATTCCAACCATGATCGCAATCATCTGAAAACAAGGACAGAAGAACGTTTGTCTAGTAGGCAGAATTATTGTAAAGCAATAACAAACAAAAAACAATAAGAGAAGATATCATCTATAAGTAGAACCCTGCATCAACTGCAGCAGC